GACCGACCTGCATACACTGTCTCATTTCATCCTTACACTAGCCCGGTGGAATCAGCTATTAACATCCTGTTTTACGAATGAGGAAACTGAGGCAAAAGGACAAAGATACAGGTGTCCTGTTCTCTGAGGGGCCTTTTTCAGCCATCGGCTTCAGTGTTGAGTAGGCATGTGAGTGTTCCTACACACCCATGTCAACCCCACCCCACAGTCCTAAGAGGATGAGGCTCAGCATGGGCGAGCTTTGGATTAGAGGAAGGAAGGGCAGAAGAAACGCCAACCCCTAGCTCTGTCTCCCAAGGGTGATACCTCACCAGCCTCTTGAAGAAAGGGCAGTCATAAGAATAATAAGTCAGAGATAGTTTTCTTAAAAAAGGACAAGTTTGAATTTTAAAAATGCATATTGAACAAACAATGCTATAAAACATGACTTGGCCATACAGGTGTCTTAGTGACCAGATATCAGAATCCACCCATGTGGCTTTATCAGGCTTGTATAATTGCTCTCCCTTGACTTCCTTTTAGGTTCTCCAGGAGAGAGCGCTAAAGTGAAGGGTTAACCCAGGTCACCACCCTTCATCTGCATAGCATGGATGACCTGCCTTCCTTCCCCACCCCCCACTTCCTTCTCTCCTCCTTTCTTTTTTGATTCCATGAGTGAGAGGGAGAACCCCCAATGGGATCTCAATGCCACAATCTACCCTCACCTTCACCCAACCCTGGATCATGGGCAAGAAATGCTCAGAAAGGTCTCCAGCCTTGAACCAGGAACCTCCCCATGCGGGACTGCCTTGCAGAGTGTTGTGTTTTACTGCTGCTCAACCACACAGCCCCTGTACCTTATAGACTTATTTCTCCCCACTATAATGTGAACTCCTCCGCGGAAGCAGGGTCCTGGTTCTATTGTTCTCTTCTGTGTTATTACTTAGAATAGTGCTTGGCACATAAGTGCTTGAGAATGTTAAATGAATACATGGCTCTAAGTATGGCACTGAGATCTTAGCAACTTAAAGATTATTTAAAAGCAATGTAAAGACTGAGCAAGGCTTACCCTGGATGTGGATGTAGGCACACAGTCTAAATTACAAAATACTGCCAAGCTAAAGGTACCTTTACAAATTAAAGAACAAACACTGCCCTCTGATGGTAGTGAGGGTTTTTGTTTTCCATTTTAGCAGCAATAAACATCCCAGTTTCCTTACGATCACACAGGTTGCTAGCTAGAGAGGCAGAGCAGTGAGGGACTTCAGGATACACAAAGTGCTCACAGTATGTGTTCGAGACAATTCTGCTAGCCACCACCCCACACCCCACCTTGCCACCTGGGTTGTTGCTCCCTGCCCCCAGCCCACTGCCACCCCCCTCTCACATAGACATTCTGGTGCCTCTCTGGTTAACCTGGCAGTGGCAGGATGGGCTTGCCCAGAAGAGCTGTCAGGAACACAGTAACGTAGTTTGCTAGCCTGGGCCAGCTGGGACCCAAAGGGAGGTGAGTGACCCTTAATACAGCAATAGTCCTTAATCTGCCTGGCTTCTCATCCTGGCCTCTTCCTTTTTGCCTCAAGCTTTCTGCTCTTTCCTACTTCCTAGTCTCAGCTCTTCTGATAGGTGGGAAGGTGGAAAGTTTAAAAGATGTCAGCTCAGGGAGCCAGCAGGTAGCATGGTAGTTAAGATGCTGGACTCCCACATAGCCAAGTCCCAGACCCGGCAGCTTGAAAATCATGCCGTGCATCTATGGGTGCCCCAAATCCCAGGAGAATGGAAGAGAAGGGATTGCAGTGTGGCCATCTACCCTGGGAGTGATTTCTCATTTTCCCTCTTTCTCTGCCTTTTTTCTTTTTCCAGAGATGCCCTATAGAAAAAAAAATGTGTGTTAGATTTTTCAAATGTGTAGATGAGTAGAAATTTGGTTAGAATACTAGATAAAAAAAAGACTAGGGCAAAGTCAAGTGTTTCCTTGTTTTAATATGGAAGAGTTTTTTGCATGTTTATATTTACAGACTGCAGAGAATGAGCCAGCAAAGAGAATAAAACTGCAAATCACAGGGAAAGGGACAGAGACACAGAGAGAGAACTGATGAAGCTAGATCACAAGTTCTCCGGATATTGAGCCTCCCCCCACCCTAATAAAACCAATTTCTCTCAGAGTAGAAACTGGCAGAAGGTGAGGGGAGAACTTCTCCATTTCACTTTTATAGTATAGTATTTGTTTAAATTTTGAAATAAAAACTATATATTTTTTATTATTAGTTTTCTATCCAAAAAATGCATTATGACTTTCTTGATGACCCAATAATATAATGAAAAAAAATTTAGAAGTGCTCAGCAGAGGAATTAACTCTAAGCAGAGCAAGCTATATGGAAGAAAAAAGCAAAATTGCTCAACTCACCTATCTTCCCCTTCTGCTCCGTTACATATAGTCAGTCTCTTGTTTAGTTTTTCTGTCACTAACAACTGAATGATGCACTGAGTAATTTATAGAGGTTTATTTAGTTCATAGTTCTGGTGGTTCCAGGTCAAGGGGCCACATCTGGTCAGGGTCTCCATCAGCAGGTGCTCTCTGGAGAGTTCTGAAGCAGTGCAGGGTATCACACAGCAAGACAGAACAAGAGTACGTCCCGGTCTGTGTACCTGTCGCATTCCCTCTCCTTATACCACAAGATCCAACCATGGGGGTTGTAGCTACAACCACATTAAAAAAGTCTTCCTGGTGGGGCAGCAGGTGGCATGGTGGTTAAGGTGCTGGAACTCCCACACGGCCGAATGCGGTTTGGGTCTCAGACCTGGTGGCTTGCTTTCTCACTTCCCGACTCTCATCCTCTTTTTCTCTTTTTTTGTGTCCTATAACAAATTACAAAAATAATAATGAGTAGGGACTAGCAGTTAGCGTAATGGCTATGTTGCTGGACTCCCACATAGTCGACCGCCGTTCCCGTCCCGGACCCGGTGGCTTAAAACTCACACCGGGCGCGTGGGCGTGCGTGCCCATGATCCCGAGAGGAGAATGGAGGAAAAGGGATTGTGGCGTGGCCATCCCCCTGGGGGCTGGCTTCTCTCTTTCTGTCTCTCTCTTTCTCTGTCTGTCTGGCGAGCGCATGCGCCCTATAGCAAAAACCTCTCCAAAAAAAAAAAAAAAAATAATGAGTAAAATTAATTAAAAAAAAAACTCTTCCTAGAAAAAAAATTCTAAGTTAAAAAAAAGAAAAAAAGACCAAGAGAAAACATTTAAAATTCATATCAGAGACCAAGGACTAACTTTCCTAATAAAAAACTTGTATAAATCTATAGGAAAAAGAACAGCAACCCAATAGAAAAATGAACAAAGGACATAAAACCTTTCTCACGCGCACAAAAAAAATTGCTCTTAAAAGTATACTCAGAGGGGGAACCAGCAGGTAGTGGGTAAGGCCTCTGGACTCTCACATGGCCTACTGCAGTTCGAGTCCTGGACCTGATGGCTTTCTTTTTCACTTTTTTTCTCTCTCTCTCAGTCTTGCTCTCGCTTTCACTCTCTGGTCAAATTAAAATGAATAAAGTTAAGTAAAATAATTCTTTTTTAAAAAAGTACACTCAGCTCCACTAAAAATAAGAGAAATGCAAATTAAAATCGTAAGAAACCACTTTTTTGAGAGAGATTTTTGCTATAGGGCACAAGCACTCACTAGAGAGAGAAACAGAGACAGAAAGCGAGAAATCACCCACCAGGGTGGATGGCCATGCTGCAATCCATTCTCCTCCAATCTTCTCTTGGGATTTTGGGTATACATGCACCTGGCGTGAGTTTTAAGCAGCTGGATCTGGGACTCAAACCGTGGTTGACTACGTTTGAGTCCAATGATGTAACCATTATGCCACCTGCTGGTCCTGATACTACTTTTAAATTATAAAATTGGCAAAACTTGTAAGTCTGATAATACTCTTCATGGGGATACAGGTAATCTCCTACACTGCTGATAGTTTAAGTTGGTGAAACCTTCATGGGGAGCACTAGTAAAATACATTCCAACCTCATCTCCTACAATTTTTTCCCCTCTTGCTCAATCTATAATAGCCCTATTGGCTTTCTCCTCTTTCTCAAATATAACAAGCACACTCCAGCCCCAGGGCCTATGTGCTCACCTTTCCACACTAATCCTGAAATGCACGCTGACTTTTCTTTGTCCCTGTCAGGCCTTTGATCAATTGTCACCTCTTCAATGAGGCTTTTTCTGATCACCATATCTAAAGCAGTAGTTCCCTTCTCCTCCAGCATTCTCTTTTTACCTTGTTTTTCCTTTCGAGCACTTACTATCTGACACTATTCTATGCATTTACATTTACTGACTTTCTTCTCGACTGTAAGTCCTATCGAGTCAGGATTTTGTTGGGCATACTATTATATCTCAAACCCTAAAATAGTATTGGTTTAGAATGTAGTAGGTCCTCATTAAGTATACAAATGAAAGAAGTTCTTTGTAGGATAACTTAACAATATTTAAAATCAGAATGCCATACCCAACAATTCTCCTTTAGGCATTTAGCCTACAGATGTATTAGCAAGTGTGCAGAACAATAACCGTACAAGGTTATTTGTTGTAGCCTTGTTTGTCATAGCGAAAGGAGAAAGCTACCCAAGGTCAACTCTTATAACTACCTACATCTTTACAATGGAATAAGTGGACTACTATACAGATATGAAATGATCTCTAAATTCTGGAAATTCTTTTGCTACCTTTGACAAACACACATATTAGATGCAACTACCTTAAGACCCTGGTGATATCACTACAAGTTTGATTTTTTTACTGGGGCATTCAATAGTAAAGAAAGAAGCGATGGACAGATCACAACAGTAAAGAACTATTTTTACAGTTTTGTTTAATGAATATTAACTTCCTTATAGAAAACAGGATTTATACCTATTAAATAATATTCTAATAAGAATAAATGTACCTGTACACAGATAACTTCATTAAACCAAGATCTTCTCATTATAGATCAAACCTTGCAAACAGGCCTAATCTGGCAGTACCAATTGTTCATTTATTATGGGTGTATTTCCCAATTTACAAATAAAGCTCTTACTTATGGGATAGGTTGAGGGTTTCAGAATGTCCTTAGTACGTATTCCCTGATACTGGAGGGTTCAAATTCTCCTTCTGTCCATCAGATCACATTCGCATGCAGCTGCATGGCATTTTGCAGGGGCACCCTCTTACTCCAGAGCTAAATACATTAAACAGTTAAATACACAGAAAGACATAATGCAGTCAGATAAATCTCTGGTAATAATTCTATGCCCTCCATTCTTCTTTAACTATCAGGTTGGTGGGAAAGTCATGATGTGTTTTTCTATGCAAAAATGCATGACTTTCCTGACGACCCAATATAATTTGCTTATTATTCCTCAAATAAAAACATGTATTACCTGTCTCTTCATCACCCTTTCCCCCCTTTTCCAGTTGCTCTCACCTGGAATGCTATTCAAGCTTCTATCTGAACATCAGCATTTCAAGGACCAGGCATAGTTCTAGCTCTCCACCAAAAGGAAGTCTTCCCTGACTATTCTACCCTACATTAACCGAGGCTCTTGTTTAGTTTTTAGCAAGCATCTGGGTCTAATCTTTCTGCTGCCTAGTACCGTTAGTTTTTCAGATTATTTACATTTTTTTTAACTTATCTTCCAATTAGATTACAAGTTCCTTAAAGGGCAGATTCCCATATTTCGTTTTTCCTATATTCCTCATGTACCTTCAGAATAAATAATCTAAATGTCCTGGTTTGAAAAGTAAATGGCCAATCCAATTCTGACCCGACATGTACATTTGGTATTCTTCACAGACTGTCCTAGACTCGATCTATGTTCTTCATATAAACCTGGATATTCTGCTAACCCAGCATGTTTCTGAATGCTGGGCATCAGAACTCATCGGCCGACTCTGTGTCCCAGCCACAGGACTGCAGCTGTTCATCCTGTGGGAACTCGACCTCAATGTCATACACAAAATCTGGATCGTCCTTCTTCTTCTGGTTTTTCTCAAAAAGCTCGTCCATGATACTCTTCCTTTTGGCAAGCTCCTTGTCATCTAGTTTGTTCAGGTCTTCCTCAGGATCAATAGTTGTTTCCCGTTTAATTTGTTCCATTGTTTCTGCCAAACTCTGCCCCCGTAAATAACCTCGTAAAAAACAGAATAACTTCTCTAATTGCCTCAGGGATACTTGTTCCAGGTAACTCTTGTGCCGTGGATTATTCTTTAACTGTTCAGCAGCTCTGGTACAATCTAGAAGGGAGAAAACAATCCCATATGCCACATCCATCATACACACCACAGACTGAGGCAGTGCAAGCTACTGCGAGGGCCAAACAGAACAAAAACTCAGAACCCTGAAAGCTTGGTCTCTGTTATAGCCACGGAGCTAGTGGTTTTATTGGAATTCATTATTTTGTAAAACTATTCCTTTATATTGAGTTTTGACTTGGGGGGGGGGGAAAGGAATCTAGTTTTGACTTCCTTAGCTTAAAATCATTTTGTGGAGATGTTAAATATTTTCTTTTCTTTTTAAATATCTGTTTTTTAAATTTGATTTATTATCATTGTTCTTCAATTTTGACCAGAGAGAGATAGAGAAAAAGGGAGAATGAGAAAGCAAGCCACCAGTTCTGAGACTTGAACTGCGGTTGGTCATATGGGAATCCAGCACCTCAACCACCATGCCACCTGCCAGCCCCGTGATGTTAAACATTTTCTACTGGAGAAAATACCTGAGGAGAAAAAGTGGTCTTACAGTTTTGAGACAGCAGTAGTGGTAGTAATAAACTACTAAGATTACAGAAAGAGAACACGAAAGATGGGAATTAATATTAATGAATAATGCTAATTCATTTAACCCCCATAGTACTGAAAAGATTAAATGATCAATTATCAAAGAATTAACAATTTAAGAAAATTACCAATTCTCTTTTACAGATTAGGAAACTGAAACTCAATGACAGTAATGATTTAGCCAAGATACACACATACACATCTAGTCCCTGATAGAATCATGATTTAAAACTAGGTCTATCGGGAACCAGCAGTTAGCGTAATGGCTATGTCGATGGACTCCCAGGTAGTTGACCGCGGCTCACATCCCAGACCTGGTGGCTTAAAACTCACGCCGGGCGCGTGTGCGTGCGTGCGTGCCCAAGATCCCAAGAGGAGAATAGAGGAGAAGGGATTGCGGCGTGACCATCCCCTCTGGGGGGTGATTTCTCGCTTTCTGTCTCTATGTCTCTGTCTATCTGGTGAGCGCATGCGCCCTATAGCGAAAAAAAACTCTCAAAACAAACAAACAAACAAACAAAAACCCAACTAGGTCTATTGGGTCTGGTGGATGGTGTGGTGATGAAGGGTGCTGGACTCCCACAAGGCCAACCACGGTTCAAGTCCTGGACCTGGTGGCTTGCTTTCTCACTTTCTCACTCTCTGATCTCTCTGGTCAAATTAAAATAAATTAATTAATTAAATAATTCTTTAAAAAGAGAAAACCTAGATCTGTCTAACTTTGAAGTCCATGCTACTTCATTGCATGAGACTCACATCATTTCTATTATGTGATTTAGAGAATATTTACCACAGGAGGCAAAATAAAACATGAGGTACCTGAAAACTTTGAAAAGTTTCGGACTGGCATGATTCGTTGGCGACTTTTCCCCTTGATTTCATTTTCATAAATTAAGATGATAGCTGGAGGCTGGAATCTAATTCCACATTTCTTGGCAGTGCACATCATTCCACATACACTTCAGGGTAAATCGGAGGAAATCTGATGAAAATGTTTTAGTTGCATAATGACTTCCTGCTAAAAAGGAAAAAAGAAAACCAACTGGGTATTGGCTAAATTTCACTCTCCTTACCCCTCCTCCTAGCAGCTCTGGCTCTAGTCCGGTTCTACAGATGTAAACTCAACCTATGAAGCTTAACACTTTGAGAGCTGCCCTAAAAGTTCACCTTGACCATGGGTTACCCTTAGTGTGTTGGGGCCATAAGATTCTCTGATTTAGGGCCAGCAGGTTACATGATTGTTAGGGGTACTAGACTCCCACATGGCCAACCCTGGTTCGCGTCCCCGGCCTGACAGCTTGCTTTCTCTCTCTCTCTCTCCCTCTCATTCACTCTCTCTGTCCTTCTCTGGTGAAATTAAAGTAAATAAATAATTAAGTAAATAAAGTTAAATAAAATAATTCTTTTAAAAATAGATTCTCTGGTTGACTCAAAGGTTTGGTTTGTTCACAAATAAGCCAGAGACTGCAGTTTAATGTGGACCTGTTAATGTACTATATTCTCATGAACCCCTGAGACAGCTCAAGAGTTGACCTACAGTTCTTGACCTATTCATTAATTTAAAAAGTATGTATAACCACCCTCTACATCAAGGTACTTTGAGTTTTTAATTTTAAATATTTTGTCTTGAGAGGTTCACCAGAACAGACTGTCTACCTTGTTCTTTCTCAGTTGTTTTTCTCATTGAGTTTTTTGGTAATAATTTATTTATTCATCTATATTCTTTTCTGGTCTATAAGTTCCATGTGGACAAGAAGCCATTGTCTACCCAATTTATCAGCACAATATGTGGAATACAGTAGGCATACATATTATACATACTTGTGTAATACTATTTTTTGTTTGTTTTTACTATAGAGTGCCTGTGCTAGCAGAGGGGGGTTTGGTTGGTGGGCACAGTGGGGGAGTGAGAAAGCATCTCTTGGGGGATGGCCACGCTGCAATCCCTTCTCCATTTTCCACTTGAGATTTTGGGCGGGCACGCACACACACGCATCCAGCATGTTTTTCAAGCCAGTGAATTGGGACTCCAACTACACAGTCAGCCTCATGGAATCCTGTCACCTTAACAACCATGCCACCAGCTGGCCCCACTATATTTTAATAAAAGGCAGAGCCCCTCTACGTCCTCTGAGTGTTTACGGTCTAGAAATCTGATCAAAAAGGAAGTCCTGATGCAGAATACAAGATAGTAATGTTAACCAAGCTTTTACTTTATCTTATTTTTCTCATATCTGATATTTTTCTTTTTTTTTAAAAAAAAGATTTATTTATTTATTTTATTCCATCTGCTGTTATTATTATTATTTTTAAATTTGGACAGAGAGAGAAAGGTCAAGTGAGAAAGCAAGCCACCAGGTCCAGGATTCAAACTGTGGTCGGCCATGGGGGAATCCAGTACCTTAACCACCATGCCACCTGCTGGCCCCAGTATCTGATATTTTTCTAGTTACAAAAAATCATTGCATTTTGCAGGTTAGTACTTTCTATTCTCTTTCCTTCCCCAACCTTGATGCCAAAATACACTTAATTATAGGGATTGGTTTAGATGTGACTATGATTCTCAGTAAGATTTGTAAATGTCAGGAAACCTTGAGGCAAAGCAGCACAAGGTGATATTTTCATACACTTAGTTATGTTGGAGAATCACTATAGGAGCATAGTTTTAAAAAATATTTAAAGTGATTACAGGAGAGGGTCTTCAAAAGTTGATGGAAAATATCACTGGAATAACTTAAAAAGAATCACTATACTTGGCTTTTTAAATTTTTGGTATGTACGTTAAGAATTGGGTACAAATTGAAATGTCTGTACTGATCCTTGACACAACCAATAAATCTCAATTACAAAAGAAAAAAAAAAGTTGATGGAAGATGTATATCATGAAAAGACCATGTAAGGATTTCAACTTTTTGTCATCAAAAGAAACTTGTAGGGGTACCAGCAGTTGGCGTAATGGCTATGTCGCTGGACTCCCACATAGTCGACCGCGGTTCGCGTCCTGGACCTGGTGGCTTAAAACTCACGCCGGGCGCGTGTGCGTGCATGCCCAAGATCCCAAGAGAAGAATGGAGGAGAAGGGATTGCGGCGTGGCCATCCCCCTTAGGGGGTGATTTCTTGCTTTCTATCTCTCTGTCTCTCTCTGTCTGTCTGGCGAGCACACGTGCCCTATAGCAAAAACCTCTCCAAAAAAAAAAAGAAATTTGTACTTTAATTCCATTTTCTATTAACTTACTGACGTCCCTTTGTACATGTTCATTGTAGAAAAGTGGAAGCCAGGAATGGGAGAGGGAAACATACATAAAACAATTATCCTTGATTACTTCCAATCTTATATTCTAGACAGTTTTTTTTCAACATAGTATGTTTTCTATGTCATACATTATCACTTCCTTTAAAATTTAACCTATGTGATTATTTTGTCATTAAGCATTTCACTAAAATGTAGTTTTGTTTTCTTTTTGCCATAGGACACGTGTGCTTGCTGGAGAGAAAGCGTGACAGAGAAAGGGAAAGTGAAAAATTCCCCTTAGTCCCCAGAAGTTGGCCATGCCACAATCCTTTCTCCTCCATTCTTCTTTCTGGATTTTGGGTATGCACATACATGTGCCTTTGGTGAGTTTCAAGCTGGCAGGCCAGGGACTTGAACCACAGTCAGCCATGTAGAAGTTCAGAGCATTAACCATCATGTCACCTCTTGGTCCCTAAAATGCAGTCTTTATATATGACTGTTAAGTGTTTTGCCTTACAGATGTATCATAATCTATATTATTCACCCCTATTGTTGGACACGAGAATAAAAATGACCACCCCCAATCCCTTCTCCTCTATTGTCCCAGGATTTTGGGCACACACCTGGGGTGAGTTTAATCTACAGGTGGGGGATTGGAACTGAGGTGGACCATGCAGAAGTCCAGTGCCTTTACCACTAGGCCTCTTGCTGGCCCCTTGCTCTTAATTTTTACTAAAGTAATGCTTGTACTGTATTTGGAATGTAAAATAACTCTTGAGGCTTACAGCAAAAAAACTAGTGTCCTGCCCTACTCCTCTTCATAGGGTACCGGTTTCAATTCTTTTAGGCATTTTTGCCAAGGTGTATCTCCATTTTTTAAAAAAAACATTTATGTATTGTTAGTTTTTGCTATAAGGCTCATACACTTGCACCCTGGGGTGGGGTGGGGGGATGGCCACGCAGCAATCCTGTATTCCCCACTCTCCGCCCGGGATTTTGGGCACGCACCCGCATCAGGAGTGGTTTTCAAGTCACCCAGGAACCTCGCGGTCGGCCCTGTGGGGTCCAGCAGCCTTACCCTCCCCGCCACCTGTTGGTCTTCCGTCTATCTTAATAACATGCTTACACGCCTGTTTCTTTTGACACGTACTCTCCGGTCGGAGACACCGCTCGGAGTACCCTCGGTTCTGCTGCTACGACGGCTGCCAGCTCACGTTCACCTACCTGTCCTTCCCGGGCAGGAGTATTTCCTCCCCAGCGAGGGCTGACTACCACAATCTTGCTCACAGGACCCAACAGGGTACAGATGTCCCCCACGGGACGACGATCCTCTCCCTGCTCAGGTCCCCACGCGTGCGAGGCTTCCTTACCCCGGGGAAGTACGTAGAGCGCATCTTCTCTGGGCTCCGTCCAGACCGCAGAGGGTGGGTAGTTCCGCGCGATCCCGGGCACCGAGCACCTCAGTCGGCCGGGAGCCGGGTGGAGCCACAGCCCGG